GTGTAACTTGGTATTACAGAAGTTTTTAGAGAGCTTCAGAACAAGGGGAATTATCCTTGGATTTGCAAATGGGGAATTTCTTACGAAGACGAGAGTTCTGTACGTAGTTGTGTTATTTAGCTTCTACTTTAAATTTAACTATGTTTGCATACTCTCACACCCTTACCTGTTGCTGCCTGAAGCTTGGCTGAAAAATGATGGAATGGACTAGTTGAATTATAGTGCTGGAGGCGTGCACTGTCTTGCTGCAAGCATCATTATTAGGCCTGCTGTCATAAACATAAAAATAGTGTTGTCATTGTACCCTGTGGTATTAAGTATATATTTCAGTGAAGTGACAACAGACTAAAACGCTCTTGTGCTAAGAACTATTCAAGCATGCAGTATGTGCAGCTTTCTTGTGTTGAAGTGCTTATGACTTGGAGTGGTCCCCAAGCTGTTGCTTGTGATGGCTGGGGATGCTGCTGTTAGACACAGACAACTGTTACCTGGTTTTCTATGGAAGAAGAAAATACAAGGAGAGGGAAATGTTCTTTCCTAAATAAAGGAATTCAGCTGGCTTTTTTGTAGCTTCAGCCACTTTTGGTAGCAGTTGCTGTATTTGAGGAAATGATTTCTTTAATGTGCCCTTACTGTTAAATTTTTTTTCAGGCCACAGTCAGAATGATTCTTTTTACTCACTGGTGTGTTTTTTTTAATTCCACTTTTCCTTTCAGTGTCCTAATGTCTTTAAATATTTAATGTACAAGAGATTTTCTATCTTCTAGAACAAACGGCCTGAAGGGAGGAGGAGTTTCTGAAACTATCCCACTTGAATGTACAAGAAAAAAATCCAGTGTGCAACCAAGCAGTTTATCTGATTATGTACCACTGAAATGCACTTTGTTGAGCCTTGCTTCTGCACAGGCCACTGGAGTGATCTGCCGGTGATTTGTGTAGCTGATGTGTATTTCCAAGTCACACTCACTTAAAAAACAGATAAAAACCCAACCCAGATCTTCGCATTACTGGAAGAGTATAAATGATTCCATGATTGAGTGGTTTGGTACATAGAAATTTTACAGGAAAATATGTAAAAAAAAAAAAAAAAATTGTTGCCTTGATTCATACACAGATTGCCTCTGCAGGTTTGGTGTGTCTTTTCTTAGCTGCTCGGGGGGAGCACTGTGTTGTGTTTTATGAGGGGAGGGGTTCTCAGGAGAAGCTCTTTGAGGCTGACATGCTGTGGTAAGAGCCATGGCAGAGCCAGAGGTTCTGCAAATTGCTAATGATGTGTGGATAGTTGCATTAATTTTTAATACACAAGTGTGTGAGAAGTTTTTTTTCTTTTCTTTTTTTTTATGCAGGTCAACTTTGTAGTGTGCCAACTGTTTGCCTTGCTTGCGGCTATTTGGTTTCGAACATACCTTCATTCAAGCAAAACTAGCCCATTTATAAGACATGTTGTTGCAACTCTCTTGGGCCTTTATCTTGCACTTTTTTGTTTTGGATGGTAAGTTGCACTTAAATTCACTTTTCAGGGATTTATATATTCTCATTTCTTGTTTGTGGGCAAGCAAAGTTTCATTATGAAGACCATTATTACCCAATTCTGTGGTTTTTAGCTACTGCAAACTTACAGAAATTGGCTTAAATTTTCTGATGCAGTGCACAAATTTTGAAGGATCTTCCATTTGCAAACTGGTAACTAACATACTGTCTTCCTGTGGTTTGGGGAGTATGGAGCAGGTGCAGTTTGTTTAACTTGTGCCAGGTTTTCTGTAAACTTACTTGAAAGGTATTCTCTTGAGGCACAGCACAGGTGTGATGACTAAGATAATGTCTGTTAAATATTCACTGCATGAGGTAACTTGCTGTGTCTTCTTCGCAATATTGAATATAATCTGCCTTTTTGTAGGAAGAGTGGCCAGAACTGCAGTGCTGATGGTGCTCCTAGTAGTATAAAACACTTGGAAAGGAGCTGGCCTTGATTTGAGAGTTTTGTGTGCGAGGATTTTTTCTTCTGTGTTTTGGAGGGAGGGTGGTGTTTGGTCTTTTCACAGTGTAGCAAGCCAAAGTGTTAGTAGGGCTAATAAGGGGTATGCATTTACTTCAGTGAAAAGTTTTTTTCCTCCAGAATTAGCTTACTAAATGGCTCTCATCTTCCCAAACTGGCTTAAGATAAATTAAGTGCCAGTTTTATTTTATTGCATTGTAAACAAAGTGCTTGCTCAGCTTTAGGTATGTAGAAGACAACTGACTGTTGTAGAGTATTACTGAACTAGGGGGAATCAGTCATGCTGTTGTGCAGGTGGGAAGATGTGTGTGCACACACAGAATGTGTAGAAATATATTTCAGAATTCCAGACCATGGATTTGGCCTCTACATTGCCATGTTGCAGAGGCTTCTCAATATTAGTTAATATGTATTACTTCGGAATTTAGGAAAAGAAAAAGCAGTAAGTTTTATTCTTCAGATTTACATGTGCAATTTACCTTTATATATTTCCATAACTCCCATGCGTTTCTTAAAACTTTTGGCCATGGTATTCTGCTTTGAGAGAATGATCTGATGTCAAAGACTTCCAGTCTTAGCACTGAATGAGGAGGATGATACGGGAGATAGGTGCTACTGTGTGTGGGTTTTGAGAGAGCCATGTAAGCTTTAGAAGCACATTCTGTATTGCATTCCTTTGGAAACAGAAATGATTAATAGTAGCTTGTATTAGAAAGTGTTAACAATATGTTAATATCTGAAATTCGGGGACGGGAGACTTCAGAAAGAAACAACTTCCACCCCCAGCAGACATAAATAAAGATTTGTGGAAAATATGCCCTGGAAAAGAACTTGGAGAGAAATCTTATGCCATAGTAGAAATCCAGATTATTCTAGTTTGCTTTAGATCGAACTTCAAGCAATTTTTTAGCAATGAATTTCTATTTTGCTAAAAGATTTTTTTCTTACAATCATGGAACTAAAACCTTTTAAAAATGCCAAAAAGAACATAATTTGAGGTCTTAAAAGTACACATTCTTTAGAAAGCTGTTACTTCTGTTGCACTTGTGCCAATGCTTTTTCCTGTTGCCAAAGTGTGTGTTCTACAAGCATCTCTGAGGGTTTTTATTTGGTTCCCCTCACCCCTCCCCAAGGAATCAAGTATATGTATGGGTTATAATCCCATGGTAAGCTTTCAGCAACTCTTCAGTCGTGTTATAACCTGAGTGTAGAAGGGGAAAACTTCCTGTTTTCTTATAGCATTTATAATAAATACAGACTTGCAGGAAATCTCATGCAAACCTGAATGTGGAAGATAGTTTGGAATCTGCACTGTTTTAAAAATAATTGAGTTGTCATGTTGTCCTCTTCAGTTTCAGGTGTATTAGTCTATGGTCACATTTCTAGTGCTTGTGGTAGTGATGTGGGACAGGAAGAGAAGGGATAATTCCCTTGGGATAATAGCAAGTAGTGTAAAAGGCCTAGAATAACCTTTGTATGTAGCTAAATACAACATGAAGTAGTAAATTTTAAACACATCCCTTCAATTTTTGAATCAGAGATCAATCATATTGCTACTGTTAATAACTCCGAAAGAGAAATATGTTCAGAGACTATAATCTTAATATAGTACTCCATTTCAACCCAAATTTTTTCAATTTGATATCTTATGTCCCTTTCTCTGTTTAAGAAGCAAACCTCTTAAGTTTTTGTCATTTCACTAATGCCTCTCTTTGCTACACAGTATTGCCAATACATGGCTGATATGAAAAGAAAAAGCGAATACTTTTTTAATTTGCAATTTCTTATATTAAATGTTTTTAATTCATTATTATATTAATTTAAATAATTAGATTAAATTTTAGGTAGTCATATCTTAGATGAGACTAGCTAGTAGTGAAGCGTGGGAGCATGTGCAGATTGGATCTTCCATAAAAAGTCAAGATTTTCAAGGTCAGTTAATATCCAAGTGAATTTTTTACCTCGGGTTATCATGTGTAGACTTTGTAGGATTTTAGCTGGTAGAACTGGGTTTCTTGTCAAAGGTCTTTTAAGACTTCCTTACAAATAGATGAGGATTGAAATTAGGAAATTGCTGATGATAAGGTGAAATAAAACAGAATCAGTATAACAAAATAGTACCTGCTTTTTAGGCTGCCTTTTATGGGAAAAATTCCAAAACTAGATCAGTGTGTCACTTGAGTACATGCAAGTGTGCTGCTGAGGCATCCAAGTATCAGAGTGAAAGAGAATCAACTTACTGAAGGTCAGATGCTTCTCCCCAATCACTGGCAATGGTTTGCCACCAGTGCTCTACTAGCTTACTGAAGTACAACTCTTTTAAAAAACAAAACAACCCCCCAAAATAACAATGGTGTGGTAGCTATGGTGCTAAGCTGTGAAAAACAAATAACAAGAGGTTAGAGCACCTTTGAGGAATAGATCTGTGGGTTGTTGGTGTGTAGGGTTTTTTGTTTGTGTTTGAGACCGTCATTGGCATCCCTTTATCAGTTATTGATGACCTGGGGAAAGAGGCTGGCTGGACAGAATGACAGCAGAGTGAAGAAGTTCTTCCCCATGTTCAGACAGAACTTCCTGTGCCTCAGTTTGTGCCCATTGCCCCTTCTCCTGTCACTGGGCACCACTGAAAAGAGTCTGGCCCCATCCTCCTGACACCCGCCCTTGAGATATTTATAAGCATTTCTGAGGTCCCCTCTCAGCCTTCACTTCTTCAGACCAAACAAGCCCAGCTCCCTCAGCCTTTCCTCATCGGACAGATGCTCCAGTCCTCTCATCATCTTTGTAGTCTCTCCAGTAGCTCCTCATCTTTCTTGAAGTGGGGAGCCCAGAACTGGATGCAGTACTCCAGATGGGGCCTCACTAGGGCAGTGTAGAGGGGAAGGAGAACCTCCCTTGATGCACCCCAGGATCCCATTGGCCTTCTTGGCAACAAGGGCACACTGCTGGCTCAGATCCCTCTCAGCAGAGCTGCTCTCCAGCAGGTCAGCCCTGAGCCTGTACTGGTGCATGGCGTTGTTCCTCCCCAGGTGCAGGACCCTGCACTTGCCCTTGTTGAACTTCATCAGGTTCCTCTCTGCCCAACTCTCCAGCCTGTTCAGGTCTCACTGAACTGCAGTGAATCACCATTTCTATTCACCAGGAAATGTTCTCAAATACTGATATTGTGGTTTTGGCTTTATGAGATACCTGTTTTTGCAAACGGGTAAAACAATGAGTATGGAAATTGAACCACGAATCATTCATGGTTTTTTACACATGAAGTAATGACAAGTGAAAGTATTATGACATGTATTCTTTGTATTTTAAGGATTATCAGCATTTACTGTATTTTTGTTCATGATTTGGAGAATTCTAGCTAAGTCTGTAGTTTTTTGTTCGTTACTGCTATCTGTGCTACGCTCTCAACAGAAGGGAGAGCTGCAGAAAACCGAAATAGGACAAAGCTGGGTTTTTTGAAACAGTGATGGGGTTAAAGTTTGACAAACCTCCTTAGTTTCATGTTAAAAAAACACATACAGTTTATTGTCATTAATGAAAATGCCACGAGGGTTTACTGTTTTGTTTTGTTGTGTTTTTTTTTCCCCCCCCTCCTAGGTATGCCTTACATTTTGTTATACAAAGTGGAATTTCCTACTATATCATGGTCATAATAGGAGTGGAAAATATGCACAAGTAAGTTTCCTTTCTAAAATATTTTTTTACAGGAATACTACAGTTTAGGTTTTTAGTAACTGTGCGCATATGCCATACTTCTGGTTGTATCATAATATTTCAGTATTTGAATAATGTTAACCGTGGGTTTATTTCCAGGAGAAAAAATGACTTATTTGGGTATTGTTGCCATCTTTTTGGAATATTTAAAGCTTGTTACAGTTGGTAATGTTCCACTGAGACTTCTTTTGTGTTCTCAGCATTCAGATTTTTTTTGTCATTGCTTAATCATAAATAATTCTCGGTGTCTCACAAATGAGTTAGCTATACAAATGTGATTTCATAACAGCCGGTGTTAGTGGAAGGAAGATATCTGAAGGGAACAGAATTTGTGTGAGAGAATTTTTTAGGTACTGAGTGTCTGTCATTTCCTTTTTTTTTTTTTTTGTTGGGAGAATAACACAGTGTGAATGCTGTCTTAGGTTAAGAATACTATTGTAAAGTTACATATGTAGGGCATTATTTTAGGTTTGCTTGAACGTATGATTACCCTAGCAGTATCTGAATCCATATAGAACAAGCACTTGTTTCTCTTTTCCCTGCTTTTATAACAATTGAAAGACATTTATTTTATTACTGTATGCATATGTTTTTACTATTCCACTAGTCTAGAGATCAGAACTAAATTAGGTTTCCACTGTGTTAATTCATGCATAAATGTTTAGTAAAATAGCAAATCCTTGCTTGAATAGGTTCCTGAAGTATGTGAGGCTGTCAGGAAAGATGCTGGTTAAAGAAGCGAAAACAAAAATTGCTTTATGTGGAAAGTGCAAAGTTAGGGTGGCCTTAGTTCATGATTCTGCCTGTTAGAACACTCAGCTTCTTTGTAGTCTGCTATTGAATATAGTTTTATTGTCTTTTGAAATATACCATATTAGGCTCTTATTTTCAGGATTTTCTGCAGTGCCTGATATATCCAAACTACTGCAGATATGAGAGAACTTCCTTTGGTTGGATGGCTGGTTTATATTGTAATGGTTTATTTGATTACAAGTTGATTTAAAGCACCTTGTTCTTATTGATTCCTCTTTAGATTGTAACAATGTAAGCTGTAATTTACATAGCTTAATGGTTTAAAGTGAATTATTGTTGTGGTTAAGTGCTGCAAAGTGAGGTACCAGGTAGGAATACTTTGGTCTTTGTCGTAACAAATTATGTGGGTTTCTTGTGAAAGGAAATCTAGCAGTAGTTTATTTCTCTGATGGCGAGAGGCAGGTAGGCATGTGTGTATTTAACATTCCTGCACTGGTCTTAGTTCCTGATCCACCCGATTCACACCAGCTGGTTTAACAACTGCATGGCCTGATCTGCTGAAATGTTAGCTGTGCTATACACAGGTGTGTATTTAAGTTCTCTTAGTTACTGCGCTGGTGGGAGGGTGAAACCGAGGTTTGACTGCTGGGCTTCGGTTGCTCTGTCGCAGTACGAATTAACATACCGTTGCATAAAACTAGAAAGCTCTTTCAGTGGAGGAAAAAAATGTAACAAATGGAGCAATTTGTTACTTGAAGTTGTAGACAATGCTTGGATGCTGTGTGGGAAGCTCCATGAGCCATTTCCAACAGGTGATACAGGCAAGGCTGTACAAGATTTGCTCCCTCCGTTGCCACTGTGTCCCAGGAGGGGTGATGCCGCCTGGTGTCTCTGTATGCCTGTACCTTTTACTGAAGGAATTTACCACGTACTTTTAATTTTCTGCTGTGAAAATGCCACTTGCAGCTTTGTTTGGTAGTCTGAGCAGCAACTAAATGTTAGTCTTCAGGCTGCAAAGTGACTCATGGAGCCCAGGGGTAAGGTTAAATGCTGTACAATAGGATGCAGCTGGTACCACCTGGCCTCTGGACTGGAGAAGGGCCTGTCACTGTTTTCACTGGGGGGGGATGGAGGTGTGTGTGTGTATCTGTACAGCTAATCAGAGTACTTGCATATACCTGCATAGCCCAACTTTTGGAATTGACTTTGTGTGTCTTGGAGGGACCCATTGGCTGGCAATCCTAATTAGAGGTTACCTGCATTGTTCGTAAGCTGCTTAAACTTAGAGATTATAGAACATCAGATATCTATACGTGATGGGTTCAAGTCACTTCTGGATTTATGGATTGAAGTGATTTTTGTGTTGGAAAACCACTTGTGTATTGTACAAAATATTTTTATCTATTATCTGAAATCATTCACGGAAGTAAGTTTCCCCTATTCTTTCCCCTGCCCTGCTTGCTGTCCTGCAGGTTTCATGACTCGATGGATTGGGAAAACCATTATCCCTCTCCTTCCTGCTTCTCCCACCCGCTAATATAGTTCCTCAGTCTCTCCAGCCTCTCTAAGTACTGTTTAAACAAATAAGAGCCAGCTGAAGTTCTTAGACTGCTTATCTGTCCAGCTGCTATGTGCTGGGTAGCATTTTCCACGTTTTGCAGAGCAAACTTTCAAGTCTGATGCTAATGCTCTTCTAAACCTCTGTTGCTTTCTTAATGTACTCCTATTGGATCTTAAAATCTCTCCTCTACAAGGTTCCTACCTTGGATTTTCCTGAGGGAACTGAACGTTGTGCAGCTATTGCTTCTAGATTGGTCTTGACCGTACGTGATATGTTGAAGATGAAAACCTTACTTGAACAACAGAAAAGGGAGGAGGGAGGAAAAGAAAGAAAAAGGTAAAACCCCTGGGGTCAAAAAAAAGAACTGACCATATTAAAAAGAAAGGAAACTTTACTTTTATATTTTAGAAACTTTCTTTTAAAGTTAAATAGCAGAAAATTAGTTAGCTGAGACTAGGATTCAACTACAATTGATCAATTGTTTTTGTATTTACGTCCTATTTAAATGATGCTGCTTTTAAGTGAAAGATGCAGTGGTAATACTAGCCCTCCTGAGTGGTTCGAAAGCTCTTATTTTTTTAATTTGTGACTAAGCTATCTTAATACTTATTTGCTGCTTTCATGGCTCAGTTAATTGTGAAACTGAAAAATGTGTTTAAGCAAGTTCTCAATACCAACGAATTTGCATTTGGTAACTGATATGGTGCTAGTATTTTTTTTTTCCCTTAAATTCTTCTGTTTGTTCTATGGTTGTGAAATTACTACTTGTCTTAAAAGACAAAACCCCAAATGCCACAAGATTTTTCCTTAAAGCATTTGGCTTATGTTAGCTAAGAACTATGTAAGCAGTGCTTGCACAGGTGATTTGATGACAAAGTTTTTAAAGTTTCTACGTAATTCTTTCTCTTTTGACTTGGTTGTTCATTTTTATGGTTGGTAAATACTGTCCCTAAGCCTGTGGGGAAAGGAAGGTTAATTATAGGGCTCGCAGTTGCTTCACTGAAGTTAGTTTTCTTGGTGACTTCACTGACAAAATATAGAAGTCCCAGCTGTGTCAATGCAGAAATCGAATCTGTTTACTTCAATTAATTCCTGTTAAACTGTTCACTTAATTTTCTTGAATGTATTAATGTAAAATAAAGTGATAGACATGCTGCTCGTGTCTGATATCTTCTGTGTTATGCTTCAAGTTGCGGGATAACACTTTCCTTGTTCCAGAAGTCTGTGGAGTTGAACTGCTAAGGCTTAAGGAGGTTATTTCTGGCTTTGGGAAAGAAAAAAAAAGTTCACTTAACTGTTTTCTGGTATATTTAAGTTATGAAAAGTAAATTAGTGAAGGATGTAGAGACCTGAGATAACTGGTAGCAGTAAATACATAAATGAGTTGATGTGTGTGTGCCCTTGTGGCACAAGATGTTGAAGGGACTGGGGCATCTCTCCTATGAGGAAAAGGCTGAGAGCACTGGGAGTGTTCAGCCTGGAGAAGAAAAAGGCTCAGGGGGATCTCATCAATGTGTAGGAATACCTGGAGGGATGGAGCCAGGGTCTCAGTGGTACCCAGTGATGGGACCAGAGGCAACAGACTGAAATGCAGAAGGTGTCATCTGAACAGCAAGAAACACTTTGTTACTGTGGGAGAGGTTGTGGAGTCTCCCTCCTTGCAGATACTCACACAGTCCTGGGCAGCTGGCTCTGGGTGGCACAGCCTGGGCAGAGGGGTTGGACCAGATGACCTCCAGAGGTCTGTCCTAACCTCAACCATTCTGTGGTTCTGTGTTATTTTTGTGCACTGTTATTTGTACTGTACCTAGTGTCATGTATGTGAGCTGTTTGAACATGGTGATGTAAAAAGGTACTTGAATTTGAGTAAAAAAAACTTCGGTTTGTAACTGGTCTGGCACCTGTGGAGATGCTTCCTGGTCATCCGTTCCCTTGGGATTTGGGAATGTTAGTCCTCATTAAGATCCGTTCTGCCTCCTGGCCAGAGTCAGGACAGAGTAATGCCTTGTTCCCGTTTTTCTGCTTGCCGTGCTGTGGGTGTGACAAACAGTGGGAGATTTGGCAAAGGAGGAGTGGATGGGACTTAATGGTTTGGTATTAGAAATCTCAATGAACACTTAGCATGTTAATTGAGGCATTTAATTTGTCAGGTGTTTAAAATGCTGAATGTCATGACTTGTTGATAGACAAGTTTGCTACTTGGTGTACAATTTAGATTGCTGTGAAAATGAAGTTAGGGATTGTTTAAAAGTTACGGTTTCAGTGAAATACAAAATGGATGAAGAAACCTGCTCTCACTCATCCTGCAAGTTGTTGGCAAGGTTTTTGTAAGCATCTTTCTATCTTCAGAAGTGAGAGCATGCCTAAGCTGAAATGATTTTTGAAAATGGGAGTTAGGCTGTTTTTTTGAACTGTTTGCTTTTCAAAGGCGCTTTATTAAGGAAAATGCAAGTTTGGTTTAGTTTTTTTGATTGCTGTCTGCTTTTGATTTGATCACAGATGTCTTAGTCTATGAAGAACATACATGATGTGGATAAAGATTTTTTTATCTGCACAAGAGGATCTGAAGCAGCATCTAAAATTAGACATTATCAAATCAACAGACTGAAATAGCAATATCTAACAATCGTTATGGGTTTACTAAGAA